CGGCGGCTTCTCCGGGCCACGCTGGCTGTGGATGCCCCTGTCTGCCCTCCCCGTGTCCCCAACCCCAGGACCACAGGGGGCGCGTCCCGGGGTCCCACGCACCTGCTGGAGGGCTCGGCACGTCCCCTGCGCGCCGTGGGTCCCATGGTGGAGCGCTGGCTGCAGGTCCAGGACTTTGTCTCTGCGCTCTCCAGATTCACCCCCGAAGCTCCACCGCCTTCGTGGAGAAGGAGGGGCCCTCCCCCCAACCACGTTAACCTCCTTGGCCCCTGGAGATTATTGTTGCAAACAGGTTTGCAATTCAAGCTGATTGGGGGCGGGGCACCTCCCGGGGGTTGGGGGGCGGGGGGCGGGACTGGAACCAAGGAGGAATTGACTAAGCCCTGCTAGGCCCGCCCCTCGTTATCCCATGCTGCCCCTGGAGCCCTGCGAAGGAGACCCCTGGGCCTGGTGCGGTCAGGCACCCAGAATGCTAATCCAGGTTCAAAGGCCTCTCAGCAGCCAGCTTCGACTCCAAGGCCCGGCGAGGGGGGCGGGATCGGTGTTAAATGGTGAAATGTGCGCTGGCCTAGTGGGACCCTCACCCCCAGGACTTCACTTCCGGGTCCGCTCGGCGGTCCCATCCAGGGCCTGACCCCCCACCCCCCACCAGCTGCCCGGGCAATTCTCTCTCGAGTTCTCTAACTCAGGTCTGCATTTCTACCAGATGGTCACCAAGCCGTGTGCAGCCGAAGCCCGGGCTGTGGGCTGGGCTGCTCCAAGTCCCCCGAGGGTGTCTGTCGGAAACCCAGATGCGCAAAACCCACTCCAAGTCCAGTGAGTTGCAGTGTCTGGAAACGGGAGGATGCAAGGGTGGCGGGCAGGAGTGACTCTGGGTGGAGGTGGAGGGGGCGGGACTTCAGGTCTGGCCCTTTGACGAAATTGTGCTTTGGAGGGCGTCAGGGTGCCCTCAAACTGCAGAGCAGGGGTCCGGGGGACGTTTGCTCAAGGCATTGAAAGAAAGTGTGGGCTCTCAGGAGTTTATGAGTAGCACAGGGAGATAGGGCCATGGGAGCTGCTACCCTAGAAGTTCTGTTTGGGGGAGGGGGTGGGGATGGGGGCGGGAGAAGGAATCTCATCCTATGGGTGTGAATTCGCTTTAAGGACGTGGGGACTCTAGTGGCTTCAGAGCCGTCAGGAACAAAGCTGATGCCGAGCAGATCAGAGGTGGCTCAGTGGGACAAGGATTCAGGACACAGCTGGCTGGAAATGCTGGCTCCTTTAGGGCAAGACGGGAGTGGAGTGGGGTGGGGGGCCTAGTTTACCGGACCATCATTTCTTTATGCCCAAGGAGAATTGACTCGCATCAGGCAGAGATGGTTGTGGCTCTGGCTGACCGCTCTGAGCAGCCTCATTTCTCCGAGGCTGGTCTTTGTCTGGCAGTCACACCCCCGGGGGCTGCAGAGCTGGGAGGAGGGAGCTGTTTCTTGCATCTGGAGGCAGAAAGAACTTCTGGAAGTCGAGCACTTTGCCCCCAGCAGAGAAGGTATTGTGGGCTGAACTGTGTCCTTCCCCAAATTCGTGTGCGGAAGCCATCACCCCCAGGAGCTCAGAACACGGGTGGACTTGGAGAAGGGTCTTTACAGAGGGGATTAAGGTACAATGAGGTGTCGAAGGTGGCGCTGATCCCACAGGAGTGTGTCCTTATAAGAAGAGAGGATGAGGACATAGACACACACAGATGGATGACCACGTGAGGACACAGGGACGGGCCGGCATCCACATGCTGAGGACAGAGGCCTCGGGAGGGACAAGGCCTGCCCACACATGGCTCTCGGACGTGCAGCTTCCAGCGGGTGACACATCAACGTCATTTAAGCCTCCAGTCTCTGGTACTTTTCTGGCCACCCAAGTAGACGCACGCCATGGAACCGCAACTTGTGAACTCGGCTGGGATGCTCCGTTGGGACCGCCGGAGCCAGCTCATACAGGCCGGGCAGGGCAAGGCCAGTGGCAAGGGAGCGGGTCCCGCAGTGACCTCATGCAGAGGGGAGCAGATCCATCATGTGTCCCCAACTCGCTGGGATGTGTGTTCCCGGAGCAGTGGGCCCTAGAGACAGTTCCAGCCTGAAGCGCAGTCTGTCTCCTCATTGGCGGTGACTTTAGAAACCCACGTGGCTGATTGCGTCAGCCACCGTGCCCGGTGTCAGCGAATTGTTAGAAGTCACAACGCCTTCCCTACAGACTTGAGCTCTTTCTGGGGGTGGAGCAGCCTTGCCAGGTGGGCCGGGGTCCTGGGACCAGAAGGCCCTGTGGGCGGAGGCACAGTCCTCGTCACCCCCCTGCGGTGTAGCCCGAGCTGCACCCCCCCCACGTGGTGCGGGCTGTTCAGTGACATAGGACGCGGTGGCTTCTGCTCTGCAGAACTGGCGGCATGATTCAGCCCCACGCGAAGCGATGCCTGCTTCTCAGGCGGAGCTTTATTCAAGCCCCTCGAACACATCGAGCCCCGGGGCAGCCCGCGTCCCCTGGCGGGCGGTTACTGGCCTTCGCCTTCCCGGTCGCACCAGCAGAGGGGGAAGCGGCCGCAGCAGGGCTGCAGCCACGGCCGCCAGGTGTTGTGGCGCGCGTCCAGCTGCAGCGGCCCGGGGCGCAGCGTGCGGCGATGCTGCTCCACGGCCCG